TTCAGCTTACAATCTTTTGCAACAAACACAAGGATAATAATAATAATAATAATAATAATAATAATAATAATAATAATAATAATAATAATAACAATTAAAAGAAAAATAGCAAACAAAGTGACATAGAAACGAATGTAGACAAAAACAAAATGTACAAAATATTAATTATCAGTAAATAATTATTAATTACGAATAATATATGAATATATGTATGTTAAAACTTAGAAGAAAAATACTCTAAACAAAAATGAGAACGTATTATTTACCTTGCAAGATTATATATCGTTCGTATGAATTTCCAAAATGAAAAAAGAAATTCAAAGACATTTATTTTATTGTCTACTAGAAAAAAAAAAACGAAACAAAAAATTGTACCATTCACAAATAGCTACCTTAGCAAAGTATTTCTTTCGTGGATATGTTGTTGATATCAAATACTGCATAGGAATAATAAATAATCGATATATTGATAGGAACAGTGCAAAAGTCGTCGTTTCATTCAGCACAAGATTATTTACATAATAAAATATCATTTTAGGAATAGTCGGTGTATCTTTTCACAGTTGATATTAGAGTAATGACATAGGTTTGATTTTCTAAAGTATAGAATTACATTGAACCGTATCATTTACGAAAAGGGAGGAAGGGATGTAAGAAACAAAATATATCGATAAGTTAGAAAAGTTTTCTGTTAGTATTTCTTTCAGTATATATGGGAATTTAAAGAGTTATACTTTCTTAAAAAAAAATAAAAAAATAAAAACAAAAAACAAATAAATAAAATAAAATATAATTCTCAATTGTTATCAATACAAATTTGGATTGTGAAATGATCGAAAGATTTATGTAACGTCAGTGAACAAGTTAATTGAAAAATGATAAAAAAAGTTATATAACAAAATATAAATATAATTTAAATCAAAATGGCTGTAGTCAAATCAACGTTTATTATTCTTGGAATTTGTGGATGCTGGAGACCGATATCTTGGTCATTGTCATTTTATAAACGTCATATTTATAATTTGTATACAATATTTATAGCTTTTTTAGTAACAACTTTATCAATAACTCAAATCGTTGGTATCATTTTAAACGCTAAAGAAAGTGACGATATTTCTGACGACGTTTACGTATTCCTGGCACATTTTGTATCCTGTTTTAAGATGTTAACACTTGTGATTAATCGTAATAATATTGTTAACTTAATTGTTACATTGGAAAAAGAACCGCATAGAATTATGGACAACGTTGAGAACAATCTACAAATCAAATTTGACAAATTGTCGCGGTTTGTGTATTATTCATTATTAAATATTATTAGTATTAGATATCATATTAATGAAAAATCATTTTTCTTTTTCAGGTTCAACACTCTTAGTTACGCATTTTTGATTTCATTATCTGTGAGCAACTTTTTATTTTCCTCATTGGTTTCAGACTTTAAAGAAAGACAATTAACATTTCGAGTATGGTTGCCNATATAGTATGTTAATTTTAAATATATTATAATTTAAATATAATCACATATATATATGATATTTGTTAATAACAAAAAGGGTTAATATAATAATAATAATAATAATTATTATTATTATTATTATTATTATTATATTTTGTTATAATATTTTAATTAAATATAATAATTAACACAATTTAAAATAAAATTAGATAAAAGGATGAATCAATGAAAGGAAAAAAAACACGAACCAAGTGAATGGTTAAATCGTTTTTATAAATATTTCTTCTTTCTTCTTCTTCTTAATATTTGTTTTGTTTTGTTATTGTTTCAGGACTAATACTCTTTATTATGCTATCATGATTGAAACATCAGTATTATCGAGCATATTAAATTCTTTATTAACCGATTTGCAATCAAAAACATTGCCATTCAGATCTTGGATACCTTATGATTATTGTTCATCAATAATCGTATTTTATTTCACTTATTTTTATCAAATGATATCTCTGACTGCTTGTTCATTATTTCACGTAGCAATAGATGGATTATTTTGTGGATTTTTATTACAAATTTGTTGTCAAATAGATATATTGAAGTATCGTTTGAAACATTTAAATGGTGACGGTTTCGATGATCTTCGTAATTGCATTCGACATCATTATCAAATTTATCAGTAAGTTGTTTTATATTTTGTTTATGTTTGTTTTTATTTATTTCGATTATTATGATTAAAAAAAAAAAACAAAAAAAACAAAAAACGAAAAAAACAAACAAATCGAAAGATATTAATTCTATGATAATTTTAATATTTTTCTTGTTTGATTCTTACAAATTTTGTAATAAGTTTTTTTTTAATTTTATTATTATATTTTTATTATTATTATTATTATTTTATTGTAATATTATATTTCTATAATTTCAGTTTATTTTATAATTATTTTTGTATTATTATTATTTTATTTTATTTTATTTTATTTTATTTTATTTTATTTTATTTTATTTTATTTTATTTNTTTTTGTATTATTATTATTTTATTTTATTTTATTTTATTTTATTTTATTTTATTTTATTTTATTTTATTTTATTTCATTTTATTTTATTTCATTTTATTTTATTTTATTTCATTTTATTTTATTTTATTTTATTATTATATATTATTTCATTATTTAAAATTAGAAAAAGCAACCTGTCTTCTCGTATTTTTTAATATAATAATAATAATAATAATAATAATAATAATAATAATAATTGTAACTTCTCTTCTTTCTCTTATTTTTCTTTTTCGTTTTGTTTTTAGAATCGCAAATAAAGTGAATGATACATTTGCTCTAACAATATTCGCTCAATTCTTCATCAGTTCAATAGTACTTTGTTTGAGTATGTTTGAACTACTTAAAAATGATCTACTAAGTATAGAATTTTTTGCACTGGTATTATATTTGTCAACGTTGTTGATACAAATCTATATTTTCTGTTGGTATGGAAATCAAGTTAAATTGAAGGTTTGTTCATTCATTTAAAGTAATGCTAAACAAAAAAAAAAAAAAAAAGAAAAAAAATCAAACAAAATAAACAACAATCTAACATCGTTTTATTCTTCATTTTCAGAGTAGTCACGTTGCTATTGCATTTGCTGAATCTGATTGGACGTCATTTAATAATCATTCAAAGAAACTTATTTTAATAGTTATGCAACGTGCTGCTAAACCAATAGAATTTGTTAGCGCGTATTTTATTACCGTTAATTTGGATACATTTATGAACGTAAGTAGTATGATTCAAATCTTAGATTTATTTTTAATCAATCATTTATTTTTAAACTTCAATCATATTTTTTTTTTAATAATTATTACAGTTATTAAAAACTTCATATTCGACTTACAATGTTCTACAAAAAACGCAATAAACCATAGGAAATAATTTGTTTTAATATTACAACTATTACTTACATGTGTGTATACATGAATATATATATATATATATATATATATATATATAGGATTGGGGAAAAAGTTTCTTCGTATTTTCCTGATAAATTATTTTATTTAACTTATATTATAAATATAATATTATATATTATATAAAAATATATATAATATATAATATATAAAATATATATAATATGTTATATATAAAATATAATATATATATAATATATATTATATTATATATTATATATTATAAATTAATTATATTATTATAAATATAATTATACATTTATAATAATATAGAAAATATTATAATAAACTCACTCTATTTCTTTTTCTATTTCTCTATCTATAATATATATAATATGTATTATTATACATATATAAAATCTAAATATTAATAATAAATTAAAATAATATATATTGCTAGAGTATATACTTGCAATTTTATATATTATATAAGATTCACTCAAAAAAAAAAAAAAAAAAGATAACATTTTAATAGAAATTAATTTATTAAAACGTCATTTCATTTATAACAATTGCAAAATGTTAATGTAAATTGATCTTTATAATTATTCACAATGTCTCTTTTTATATCTTTTCTTTTTATAGTTACTAAAAATTACTTAACTAAAATTTACATTCAACTAAAACAGATACCAATGAAGTTGAATGAATAAGTTAAAGGATCATAAATTTGTCAAATAGGCTTTAACCACTACATTCAATTGATTATTTTAACGAAACAATATAAAGAACTTTGAGTAAAGTAAAAAAGAAAAAAGAAAGAAAAAAAAGAAAAAAAAGAATAAGAAAAATAAAATGAAGAAACGAATAGAATTTTCAAATATTTATACGATCTTTGAAGAATCTTGAAATTTGGCCAATTTTATGCGATCATCTAGTAATAATGTCTCACTAACGTTATACAATGATCATGAAGAAGTATATCTAGTTAAATTGACAAAAAAAAATTACCTAATAATAATAATAATAATAATAAATTTAGCTTGAAAACGTAGAAGAATATTTTTGTTTGAATACAAAATCTTAATATCTAAAGTTAAAATACAAATAATATCTAATAGTTGAAACTATAATACGATATAAATACTATTTGATATTCTTGTAGAAAAGGTGAGAGGAGATATAAGTATAATAATATGTGTTCATCGTGAACGTAGTTAGAAGAAGCAGAAAATAAACTTTTGGGGGCCCCACCCCCGTTGAAACTTAAGGTTTCTTGACGGGCCATTTTTGGGGCTCCCCCCCCACCAATCAGAACCAACGTAGATATTCTCTACGTATCCTTCCTTCCGTTAGTAATTTTCGTTTAAGCTTGCTGCTTTCCCGATTCTCTCAGACGCTCAACTCGTGCCGTTCAGCTCGCTCGAGTTAGGTAAGTTTACTGTTAATAAGTTTGTCAACAATTTAACGAAGAACAAATGTCGTCATCTCGTTGAAGAAGATAATATTCATCTTATTCTCTTATTCTTCTACTTCTACTTCTACTTCCATTTCTCCTTCTTCTTCTTCTACTTCTACTTCTACTTCTACTTCTTCGTTTTTCTTCTTCGTCAAAGTGTATTCCTTCTGTTATCTTACTTTTCATTACTTTTAAATATATATATCAATGACTTTTTGTTAGTTTTCATTATTTTGTACAAACGATGAATGTGAGTGTTGTTAAAAAAAAAAAAAAAAAAAAAAAAAAAGGAAAGGAAAGGATGCACCGTAAAAAAAAAAATGGTATCTAATTTCATTACTATTATCAAACTATAATAGATAAAAGACAAATGATCAATC